CGACGCTAAGGGAACGCAACGCGTGATGATGTATTGAAGCACATGTAAAATCAGTCCAATGGCGTGACCAGACGTCAGAGCGGGTGACGTCATGAACCAGGAAACTGTATAAGCCGGTTCAAACCTAACCCCGGCAGCTTTGTAAGGTCTGAACAATTCGCTTACAGGCAGGTGACGCAACATTTTGTTCCCTCTTCAGGGAACCAATGTTACAGTCGTAAATGAATTACTGAATGTCAGTTTGCTGCTTTATTGGGACACATAGGTTTTGCAAACAGGGTGACACTTGGGCAAATCACTGAGTTCTGTTTGCTCTAGCAACTATGTATGTCGTCTGTATGCTAAATTAAAGTAGATGTATGGATGACTGATTTCAGTTACATCAACAAAAGTGTTGACCAGTATTTAACCACCATCATCCTTTTAGTACATGTACAATTTTTTTTTGCCTCTTGTAAGGTGAATTCGCACATGAAAGATGCCTTTTTTATTATTCCATTGTGGACCCCTGGGCACTACACGCTGTGTGTAAGTTATGCAAACTTAGTTCCTATTGTGTATATTACAAGACATGAGGATAAACATAGGTTTAATATGCTATTGGGCTGTGTTTCATATCAACACATCATTAATTGACAATATCACTTTCCTTATGCTTTATATATGGAATTTTGAAATGCTCTGCCCACAGCCCTTATTGTCAACTGGGCAAGGATTTAATCTATACTTGACACAGTTGGTGACTGGTTTACATGTACTCAGGATTTAATCCATAGATAATGAAATAATATTAAAATGTTAATCTTATATTTTGAATTCTAACAATTCTAACAGTGTTAATTTGCTTGGTCATTGATCTATTGTCACTATACGTTATCTACTTTTCATCAAGAGTGCATGTTCTCTATAGGTTTTGAGACCACAACAACAAGAAATGTTACTGGACTCCAAATATCCATACAAACCACAAGGGTTTAAGTGGAAACAAGTTAAATTGAATGGAAATCAGTTACATTTCTCAAATTTAATACAGATTCAGGAATATGAATGATTACCTGATTAAGCAGTGATAAGATGCAGGATATCATCAAGTCCCAGGTCAGGTGATTATGCTGTCGACAGTGTATAATCAATGTCAGCATTATCAGGAGGCTGCTTTTCTTTTATATTGTCCATCTTCATCTGCCTTCACTCCTACTAAAGGAGCAATGGGCTCTGTTTGTAGTGTAACTTTCTTGCTCATGTTTTATGTGTCTCACACTTGAAGAAATCTGTTAAATGACGTTAGAACTTTATTCAGGAAATTCTTTTTAAACTTTACTAAAGCAAGATGCATGTTTTAAGGATGTAGAAAAATATATGCTTTATTCAAACAAAATAACATTTTATTGTATCTGATTACAGTAACACCACAAATAAGCACACAAAACAGAGAGAAGGTAGATGCACCATTGTTTGAAACTGTCCTAGAGAAGTCATGTAAGTATGTCAGGTGATTCAATAAACAAGAGGTCTAATAATTGGATGCACCGGTTTTCTCTCCAATGTGGAAGCATTAGACTACTGAGATGTGCAAATGCAAAACAAAACTGGGCGTTTACCAATCAGTGGCCAATTTTAAAATACACTAAATGTTTTTCAACCATTTTTCAACAGATATGCTAAAATAATGAAGGCGCAACCCTAAACCAAGCCCCCAGTGGATTAGAGCAAATCGGGTAAAGCGGTTGAAATGTGATGTAAATGCCCCAGTGACTGAGAAACACACACTAGTGTTCTGCAGAGACACATGCCTGAATGATCTTGTGCTCATCAACTACAAATCACCGTTAGTTCAATGTCACTGTCTCCACCCATGTGTGCTGTTGGCTTTTATCAACATTTCAATGCTGATCCAACCCACTTTAAACATTGAAATGTCAATCTCAACCAAAATGATGGTTTGGATCAAAACTCAACATTGAATTAATGTTACCATGCTATCTGGGTAGCCAGTGAACCAGCTTATAAAATCTCCTCAAGGCTGTGCTGGTTCATTTGAGGTGCAGGTCATGGGGTTTCTCAGGTTTCGCCGGTAAGCATTAGCCTCGGTAGTAGTTTGTCTCCTTCATTGCGTATTTTTATTTTGAATAAATCCCTCCACTGCATACTGTAACCCCTCGTGCCTCGATCTGGAGGATATCCCAAAGGTATTGCTCCAAAAAAGGTCACTGACACACACAGGTATCCCTCTTCCCATCAGGGCAATCTGTCGCGCTGGTCGTGTTTCACCATTTGTTTGATGGGCGTAGTAACAATAACTAGGGGGCGTGGCTTTAGCAAACGGTCAAATGAAAGCTCCCTACCTCTAACAAAGGGTAAGACTAGACAAGTGCTGTGTTCGAAATCACCCCCATACCCTCATTTATGAAAGACATGACACAGAAAACAGGATCCTGACACAGATATTGATGCACAAACATGAATATATTCTATATACTATAGTTATAGAAAGAATAAGCCAGTTTTATAAATTCCTTGATCTCCTTGGTTTCAAAAAAAATAATAATAATTGAATAGTTGTAAGCATATTTCCAGTATGTGTCTCAGGCTTAATTAAGTATCATCAGACTCCTCTGCAAACTGGTTGAACCGGCTCATTGGGTTGTATTTTCGAGCCTGACATGTTACTTCGGCTGTGCGTCATCAACCCGGAACTACAGTTCGACTCAGCTGATGTGTTTCTGCGTTTGTTTAGATGACTCATTCTTCACACCCTATATCTTATTACTAAGCCTGAAAACCATCTGAACCGGTTTTGTTAATTTCTTCTTTCATGTATGTGGTGAAGTGGGAAGCATCGAGTGGATCTGAGACTGTGAGAGATCTGGCAAGTACCTTTAATCATTATATTTAAAGCAATAGTTTATGACAATCACTGGAAATGCAAAAAAAAACAAGTTAATATTTAACTTAAAAGCAGAATTGTCTAATTCTCAGTAGCAAATTATTATTTTATTTTTGCATTGGATAAACTGGCTGGTGAAATTATGGAATTTTAACCTCCACCAATAAAGAACCAATAATGCATCTTTTATAACACACTTTTTTTTCTTAAAGTTACAATTGGTAAGTCTAAAAAGATTATTTTTGATAAAGACCAATTAATCAGTCTTTGTTTACACAAGGGAACTTTTCCAGAATCATAAAACTAATGTGATTAAAATGATGTAACGCATCCGCTCAGACCTGCGTAGATCATCTTACATTATGTACAGTTGATGGTGACGAACATGAATGACTCATTGCCTCATGGAGCCTATAGAATGTATGTTTAGATATCAAGATATCAAGGCAGAAATTCGGGTAGGCAGAGTTTTTTCTCTCATATTTATATCACATGATATATTAAAAGGGACACCATGCAGGAATTTCATTTTTGTCGAACAGCGACCCCTAGAGTTGCTGTGGAGTACTTATATTTAATGCTACTGTAGTAAATACCACTCGCGCAGAGCGTGACATGGCGTGCAAGCAGGGACATGTTTTTTGTGCGATAGGTTTTGTGATTTCACCGTAACAAATATACAACAAGCCCGTGTGAAGACTTTGCACGTCACAACAGAACACTGTATCGCTGGAGCGCAGCGGCACAGAGCACTTCGGTCACTTGATTTCAAAAACAACACATTTCTGATCGCCTCTTATTTAACAAACGAACGTAATGAATGCACTACCAGAGTTACCTGCAGATATTTTATTTGTTTGTATTGGTAACATCCAGTGTTGTAGTACTCGAGACTCGGACTCGTCTCGGACTCAGTCTCGAGACCATATTTTAATGGTCTTGGTCTTGTCTTGGACTCGGAATTGACTCGTACTCGAACATTTTTTTTTTAGGACTCGGAATTATTCCCGAGTCCACTCGAGTTCAATTAAAAATATTTTTCATGATTATTAATGTATGTTAATAAAATATTTCTTTAAATTGATTGACACGCCCAGTGATTGGTGATTTTCTAGTGCGCAACTGCGCATGACAAATTGTAATAAAATTACTTTTAACACCACCTACTATGTGGCCTTTTTACCCTAAACTGATCATATTTTTTAAACTCTAAGTAAATTCAGTAAAAAAAAAAAAAGGATTTCTCTAAGTAAATAAAAGTAAATTAGGTAATCAACCCTCTGGTCTCTGGTCTCGGACTCGACTCTCTATGGACTCGGTCTTGACTCGGACTCGACTCTCTATGGACTCAGTGTCGACTCGGACTCGAGTGAGGTGGTCTCGACTACAACACTGGTAACATCCTTGCCGCGAGATGCTTAATGGTGACATATCACACCCGCAAATTACGCCAGTAATTACGTCAGTCTGCCATTTCCTCTTTCTCTGTTCCTCCTGAGCAAATAACTGTAATTGCAGATTTCGAACAGAGATGGCGCCAAAGAGGAAAAAACTTTTGAGTAATTAATCAGTTAAAATAACATTATTTACAAATTAGCATTACCACTCATGAGGTAATGCTTCGCACCGGAGGAACCTATAATAGTTCCTAGAACTATTGGCTGAAAGCAACCAGGAACATGTTCCAATCCATTAGTTCTCTGGTTGCTAGTTCCTAGAACAAAGTTTCAAGAAAGTCCCTACAGTATACAAACTGAGCCACAGTCATTTTTACATCACGTAACTATATAGAACACAACCACAACCCTTAGAAAAATGGATAATTAATAACTGTCACATATTTAAAAATAGGAAATTAAGCTGTTTTTAATAATCTTGAAAATTTCTCTTTTACCGTGAAAACATAACTGTCCAATTAAGCATTACACAAAACTATAAATATTTTGGGCTTGACGCACTTCATACACTTTTGGAATGCTGGTTTTAACAAACTAGTAATACTACTTGTGATCAAGTTCAGCAGCATTGCTGAGAATGAATGAGTCATTTGAAAAGACTGAATAAAGCAGATCAGAGTTTAATGTCTGACTCATTCTTCTCAATCAGAGCTGCTGTTCAACACATTTTCAGAGGAGGATAAAGAAAGATTAACAAATATTACTTGAGGTGAGTGTTTCATCTTTCTTTAGTTGTTTTCATGTATATGTGTCATCTTATAATGTGTCAATTCTGAGACTTTAATGCTGAGCTGAAGTAATTTTGATGATTTTATTTAAACCCAAGGACGTACACAGGGGGGTTGCTCAGGTTGCCCGGGCAACTGCCCATAAGCCCTTCATGACTCATGTTGCCCTTCCAAAGGGGAATAAACAAATAAATAAATAAATCATACAATGGATGCAGAATTTCACGTAGGCCTAGATTTAAAAAAAAATCACAAAGCCTCATTCACTTCCATTCGGGCACCGAAAGTGATAACTGTTAGAATAAAACTATTCTTAAAATTTGGCAGAAAAAAAAGTTCTTTATGTTTTATCTGGTTATCCCATTGGGCCTTTTGCACCTGAGATGCTTCAGTTGTGGCTCAAAGCCAGGGGCTTTCATCCCCAAAGGCAAATAAGGGCAAGGGCATGCATCGAGTGCTTCGTACCTAAAAATCCATGTTTATGGTAAAGGTCCTTGCACACGGAGTCGGAAATTCTGGTCCTAAATTTGAAAAAAATAAATACGACCTCACATTGTGTCAATCATGTTTACATACTGCCTCCGAAACTTTCGTTCGTCATAAAAAAAAAAATCAAATCAGTTGAAATTTTCTGCATTCTTCCCATTTTGAGAGGTGTTTTGACAAGTAAACTCCAAAATCCAGAACTGTTTAGGATAAACTAATCCACGTAAATTTGGTGGTCTTCTTTTCAATACATGGCTCAAGTATCAATTTTAAAGCATGAGCAACTGACATCCTCAAGTAAACTTAGAATCACTCGGGATAAACCCGGAGCTCCTTGATAAGGAGGAGGAACTCTCCTTCCTCTCTACGCAATCTTAGGATCATCAGATTCAGTGTGCAAGGTTTCTGAGTGACGAATTTTTAGGATGACGAATACGAAAAAATTTAAGAAATTTTCGGACTATGTGTGCAAGGACCTTTTGGGTTATGCACTGTGGCTTCGTTCCCTTTCTATGTGGCTCAGACTCCGGTTCCTCACCTTGGGTCCCACTCTAGGTGCGTGTTGTTTTGTCATCGCAAGATGTCCGTGATGTCCGTCCAGCCCAGGGGATCTGGTGAGGTCATCATCTTGATTTGGCACATCAACTGCCTTGAATTGATAGCTATATTTCTGGCCCTAAAGTACTTCCTCCAGCAGTTAAGGGGCTACTATGTCCTAGTGCAGGTAAACAACACTAAGGTTTCGTCAAATCACCAGGCGCACTGCGTTCTGCGTTTTCCAGAACCATCATTAGCCAGCTATGGTCGCAAGTTCCGTCATTACCAATAGAGACCAATAGAACTTGCGACCATAGTTGACTAATGAGGCTTAGGCTTGGGCACAGTAGGTTCTGCTATAGGTTCAAGACAAGTTCCTGTCCCTTAGGGAGATTTACACCCTTGGGAGTAGATTTTGGAAATATTTTAAAAAGCAGAGGTGTCCTCTTCACCTCTCAAAGGACAGCGCAATGTAGCCTCTGGTTCTCTTTGAATCACCCTTCACCAGTTAATAGAATTGCCTATAAATGTGAAAGTTAAAAATCCCTAAACTGATCCAAATCCAGCATTTCAAATCCCGAACCAGCATAACACTTTGACACTGGCACAGACTTTTCTGTGCTGTCAAGTCAACTGAAATGCCAGTTATATAGCTCTAACTGACTGTAATTAACAGGTGAGAATGGTGGAATATTTGCAGATCACTCAAACATCTTGCAAATTTTGTGGAATATTTGCAGATCACTCAAACATCTTGCAAATTTTGTGGAATATTTGCAGATCACTCAAACATCTTGCAAATTTTGTGCCTTTGCGACAAGACAACGTTGTGCCAGACCTTCGACATTATTTCAGGCCTCATCATTGAAATAGACTTTGTTGAACACTGTTGGTTTTTAATGCTTTCTTGAAAGCCTTGTCTTTCTACCTTGGAGTTTCTCCAGCAAATGGTTTGTCATATTGATGGAGATAGAGTCCTCATCCCTTAAGTTTTTTCGGCCCACATTTTACTTGTTCTTAAGAGAAGATTTTGTGACACCATACCTCCCTACTATATAGTAAGTGAAAAGCAATATTTGAAAATAGTATGTCTAAATTCATAAAACATTCGAGAAAAAAAAAAAGTTACTTATGTTTTGCTGGTTGGACGACAGCGTTTTCAACTAAAAGCGTAAAACTTTTTATGCGTTTTGGCTGTACGTTTACATGACAACAACGTTTTGTGTGCCTCAAAAACTGAAACTTTTGAAAATGAGCTTCAAAGTGCAAGTGACAGACAGGCACTCTTGTTTCTATACTTATGGAATAATTAGACGCTCACATCCACACGTGTAAACAACACTCACTGACGTCTTCACTTCCAGCTCAAGAAGCTGTCAATCAAAAACTCAGTAGCCAATGAGAATACACTGCTACTAGCCCCGCCCCCACGAGAGATTTGTGTCAGAACAGCGAACACAAACTCAGGGAGTGTAAACGAAAACTTCAGAAGCGCATTTGTAAGTGTAGATCAGTAAACGAAATATGAGGAATAGTTAGCAAAACATGTAGTGTATTAAAAACAAAGTCAAAAAAATTGCTTGCGGTTCATTCTTTTTCAGTTTCAAAGATATTTTATTCAGTTTCAATTTATATTTTCATTAGTTTCTTGAAAAGTTACGTTCATTTTTATTGGCACAAAAATAATTCCATATATACTGCTCTGAGGAGCAAACCGTATCCCCACACAGAACTCAATGGATAACTTCAAAACCTTTCTTTTTCTTCAATTAAAAGAGTCATAAGGTGGGAATAACGACTAGGCTATAAGAGGTTAATCAATGTCAGCCCTGCATTTCCTCGTTTGATCCAGGGAAACTGATTCCCTGGTGTGCGTTCCTCCCCCTACTGAACATACACTCTTAAAATGGATGTGTTAAAAACAACACAACCTGTGTTATATCTTAACACACCTGTGTGTCTAGTTAAGGACAACACATTTTGTGTTACTTTTAACTCAACCAGTGTGTTATTGTTCTTAACACAGGGAGTGTGATTTCACTAAGTTTGCACTTTGAATTAGATTAAAATGTAGCAACTGACAAAATATTGTGTGTAAATAAGTTTTATTTACACTGGTGCACTCTTATAAAATGATTTTGTAAATAACACAACCTGTAAAAAGAGATGTTAAAAATGACACATGCTGTGTAGATTTTAACACATAAAGTGTGTGTGCTTAGGGACAACACATTTTGTGTAGATTTTAACACATGCTGTGTAGATTTTAACACATGTAGTGTGTGTGCTCAGGGACAACACATTTTGTGTAGATTTTAACACATGTTGTGTAGATTTTAACCCGTTTTGTAGATTTTAACACATTTAGTGTGTGTTCTCAGGGACAACACATGTTGTGTCAAATTTAACACACAACCTGTGTTGTTTCTTTACACATCTCTGTGTTTATAAGGATTACACATTTTGTGTTACGTTTAACACAACTAATGTGTTAGACAGCAGCAGTGTGTTGCTGAAACCTTTTACACACTAATGTGTTATAGTAACACAACTTGTGTCAGATATGCGTCACATGTGACTGTAGTCGGAGAGTATTTGCCAGAGTTACTTCCCGTGTGCTTACAAAAGTGTTTGGATGAACACTGACACGTATTGGTAACTTGTGTTTATGTAGTCCAGTGATGTTTAATAGAGTTTGTTTGAACATTTGGATGTTTTAAACATCATTAATCTATATAGACAAGCTCTTATTGAGAATTAACAGAGGTTTGATGTTTCATTTCAGTTTTATTTCAAGTCACCAGAATCGTGATTAATGGCTCCTTTATTTGGGCTCTTGACCCTTTACTCTTGTTTTAGTGTTTCTCTGCCTGCTGTAACTGTATTTTAATAAAATACATCTGTTATGGTGACAGAAAATATGATCAGAAGGTTCTTGATGATGTCATAATCAGCAAGTTATGATCAAGTTTTTGAGTATATGGATGGTGTGCTTTATTTTAATGATGTATTGTTAGTTCTTAAGGTTTTGTGAAACTACATCCAGCTATCCAAAAGTGCAGAATAACAAAAAAAGTTTAAAGCTACAGCAGAAACCAGTCAAACACAGATATCAAGAATCAGCGTATGGATCTCAATAATGGTGACAAACGAAAAGTTCCATGCCGCAATGCATGCTGGGACTTATGGATGAGCTTTGTACTAGAGGCATGAAGCTTTGCCACCATTGTTGAGAGTCATATGCTGATTCTTGATGTCTGTATTTGACTAGTTTCTGCTGCAGCTTTAAACTGTCTCTAAACATATTTTTTAAAGAATTATAGCATAAGGTAGCGTACACCATAATATCATGTAAACACTGAGTATCTGTAATCAAAAATAAGTGATCAAATATAAGTTATCTCTTTTAAGAGATACATTAAACTTCTCTTGCGATGTTAAAAAACATGATGTTGAAAAATGATCATTTAATGATCTTTTTCCTCAAGATAAGTTCAACTGTTTCAGATGTGCAATATAAATACACAGCAACAGCAAACAGAGAAACGAATGATAAAGAGTGAAGGGTCAAGAGCCCAAATAAAGCTGCCACTAATCACGATTCTGGTGACTTCAAAACAAACATTCAATGAATCGTCAACACAAAACCTGGTAATTCTCAATAAGTGTTTCTGTAGACGTCTGACAGAAATAAATTGTTTGTTATAATAGATTAGTTATTAATAACAAGTGAAATCAGCATTTGAAAAAAACATTGAAACCGAGGCATGATGTGATTGGCTGCCAAAACACTCATTAATGTGAAGTTTTTTATGAATTAAGATTTTATTTATTTATTGTAATGTATTGTTTCATTTATTTTAGAGCTTGTTATGGGATACCATATAAAATATACTACCTCTAATTAGGTTCATAAACACAAACTTCCCTCCACCCATTAAAATTCTATCCAGTTACATTTTAACACACATTGTGTGTTAAAAACTACACAACTTGTGTCAAAATACCATCAACACATGATGTGTGTTGTTTTTTAACACATCTCTTTTTAGAGTGTAGTCACCTTGTGACACAAGTTTTTTGAGAAGGGTCTCTGTGTAAACAGCAAAAATTTGTGAATCTCTGAAGACAATGGCGTCATGCACATGCACAGAAAGGTGGTAAAGACATCGTTAAAATAAGCAACATAATTTGACAGAAATTTCATTTTTGGGTGAATAACCCGTGAAGGTTCAGATTAGAATATACTTTACGGTAATTAAACCGAAAAAAAATAAGTTTTTTTTTTCTTATCCCATTGGCAGATAATTTCGCTTGTTTTGAGCAAAAACTTGTGAGGCATAATATTTTGTGTCATTTTAATTGTCTAGTGTATCTTGATTTAAGAATTTCTAGATATTAGGACTGGAAACAAGACAAAAAATGTATCAGTGTCACTGTTTTTGGCAATTTGTCAAACATCAATTATTTGTGGAACACCATGTGCATCATGGATACTTCCTGGAAGGCCAAAGAAGAACAATAGAGCGAAATTCTATGCGGCTATAATAGTAACTCAGGAATGTGTGTGTCATTTACTGCTCCAAGCAATCTAGAATACCCAGTTTGGATTCATGGTGCGTTGACGTGCTATGGTAATTATGGTAAATACCAAAAGCCGTCGTGTAAAATGCACATGAACACCCCCTCATGTGGTATTTTCCACTGGGCAGCTCGTAGAATATTTTGATGCACGAGTTGCCGAGATGAGATAACCTTTGACCTTTTCAAACTGGCGGAAAGCAATGCGAGAGTTGTGAATGGTAAAAAATATGTATTATTCAAGATCTAGAAAATATCCAGCATATTATTTATCGTTTGAGTTTTGATAAATCACATTCTTGCTGTAGCAGGTGACTTAAGCAATCTAAAATAGTTTTAGCTAAATAACAGTTCTGGATGTCCATCTTTTAACCACATTACGACAACAAAAGCACTTGAACGCAACACACTGGTAAATACCAGTTCACAAGTGGAAAATATCATATTTTCCATAGCAAGTGAACACACTATTAAACCACGTGTTAAATCCCATGGCGTAATTATTATTATGTCTGCAATATTTTGGTGGTGGTTTTTTTTGCTCTCTCTCTTTTTCTCTCCCCGGGTGCAAATGGAGACCAGCTGACACTAATTATCAATGTTTCCACTGATTGGCTCCTGCCTGGCAAACTTTGTGAATAAAGCAGGAGAGGAAACCCCAGTTTGGAGAGGCCGTTTTTTGACTTTAGGCCACCAGGACTGTCTTCTCCTGCCTCACACATTAGCGTGTGTGCTAAGACCGATTGTATATCTCATTGTTGTTTGCATTGTTGGTTGTTGGTAACCTAAGCAGACTTGGATAAAGTCCAAACAAAGTCACTTTTACATTGATTTTTGTGGTGTGCTGGGACAAGAGAGGAAAGTTCTTAGTTGCCTGTTGTTGCCAAACTGTTAATCTTCCTTGTTACTTCACTCCCTGACCCCTAGACCGGGGAGGCATGTAACACCACGTACGACCTATAAAGCAGCCTTTCCTTTTGGAATGTCAATAAAGTCTTTTGTAAGAATGTCTACAGTGGCCTCACAAACCCGATAAAGTAATACATATGTAGATCATAGGAAAGTTAATGTTATTTCCACTCAGTAAGAAGAGTTTTGGTACTCTTTAATATTGTATTGTATTTCTGTTGTCTCGAATTTCAGTTCTACTATATAAATTGTAAACATTACTTAGAAGTGTACATTGCAGTACTGCAAAATAATAGTTGACCCAGAAATGAAAATTCTCTAGACATGGGTTAAAGTCATCTGAATGAAGAAAAAATATATATTATAAGATAAACTATTGTGAATGGCTTTCAAGCTGCCACACTGGTAAAGCCTGTTTTAAAACTGTGGATGTTTGTTCACACGTGTGTATCAAAAAGCAGGTGAGTCTGAAGCACAACTCTCAGAGGTGATTACATATGCCATGACTGTAAAGTAGTCCTCAAACTCATCAGTAGTTATCGCTACAGTAACAGAAATACCAACAGGATAATGAGAACATTGAAACCATGAAGCCCAATAGACAGTCTGTCTGCTGAACAGCCATAAAAGAGTGACTTATAAAGAAGAGTTTTTTAAAACCAGTTGAGTGTAAATGCTTTGTTTTGAAACAATGAATGTGTTTATGTGGGTATGCAGTAACAACACAATGCCTTTTGTGGTTTTTAAACTTCTTATCTAATGAAAGGGCCAGCGTTACCACCCCTCTTAACCACGTGATCTCCACCTGCTTCCCCTTTCATTCTGGGAAACAGTATCAGCCGTTAGTCATATGACAGCTTACTTGCATCGCCTTATCTCAGAAGAGGGAACTTGGGCCTAGGCTGTGAAGCCGGTTTAGGGAGATAGCCACTATGTTTCAGTTTAGTTTGCACCAATCCTTGGATTTAGGCACCATGAAAGTACTTTGGCTCAGATTTTAGCCGTGTTCATCGCCACAGTAACTTATACTCCAAAGCTAACCTGATCCAGGGCATATTATAAGTAATGTTCGAGGTAAGAGATCTCAAAACGAAATTGGACCAATCAGCTGTGAGCAAAGTGACACATGTCTGATGTAATAAAAGTCACTCCCCCTGTTTCTACTCCAAACTAAAGTACATAGAAAATGATTATTATACCCGTTATACTTTACACAAGTACAATTTTAGTTGATCAATTATTACTATGCATTTAGTTTAAATGAATATACATTTATAAAGGTAACATAAATAAACTTTAAAAGCTTTAAAAAAATGACTAAATGTGGGCGTAAATGTTCAATTCTCTCTATACCTATTAACTATATATACTAACTTCATAACTTTTACTTGCACAGATTTGGCAAGACTTTCTTTTAGTTGTCCTCTTTCATAAACACCTTTCTTTTTTAAAAAAATGTTTAAATATTATTATTATCAATCTCGCTATATTCTGCAGAAGACAGAGGTGAATCACAGTTTCACAGCATGTGATTGGCTATTCGTCACTGATGTCACACCTAAACTCAGGATCAAAGCCCGAGTTGATAGATAGATTTGATGATCAGCGTCAACAAAACCAACAAAGCCTGGTTGGATTGGTTTGGTTTTGTGAACTCAAAACTAATCCTTTCACCCTGAGTTTGTTCAACTACCACCATGGTACGGTTTCAGAGTTTAATTCTAGTTAATAACAATCATTTAACCAATGTTAATAACTACTAAACTAATACAAAATGTAATAAGTATATTTTATAATCATATCTAATCTTGATTTACTATAATTTTGTACAGATCAATTTCAGATTCAGAAAGAAGAATGTCTCAGCCTGTCATACCCATGACATCAACGGTTGTCTTCCAGTTTCAACCACCAACACAAACACCAGTAGCAGGAACTGGGACAAATGCTCCTGTTTATGTACAACAGCCAGCAGGAGTTTCACCTCTTCATGGAATTCAACCATTTCTGAAAGGCCAACCAAAAGCCGTTGGGGTGGGAAATTGTTCATAAACCAAAATAACAGCTGTTATAAATTTACGTTGTTTATGTACTATTGTTCCCCAAAATGTGATAATGTTTTACTTTATAATAGTCTCTTGTCCTTCACAGACTGTCCAGATAATGATTGGTTTGTGGACTTTCCTATTGGGAATCGTGTCTACAGTTTATGCAAATTCCATCTTTGTCTTTAGTGGTATACCTTACTGGGGATCTCTCATCGTAAGAAACACAATTATACAAAAAAGTGTTGTGTTGCATATTTCAACAGAAGCCTTGATTTTTGTCTCTCTCTCTCTGCTCTCAGTACATAATCGCAGGCTCACTCTGCATTGCTGCAGAAAACTATCAGAATTCACCCTCCAGTTTGTGTTTGGTATGTACACAACACTTGTTTGAGATGTATATCTCTGATTTTATTTCTGTCTATAAACATTTTTGCCATTTTTAATTTTCTAATATATATATATACAGTCGTGACCAGAATTAATCATACCCCTGGTAAATATGATAAAAAATGGCAGTAAAAAATAAATCCGCATTGTTTATCCTTTTGATCTTTAAAAATTGGCAAAATCCTAACCTTTCGTTTAAGTAAAAGAATTGACAGTGGGGGGGAAATCACATTATAAAATAAATGTTTTTCTCCTAAACATGTTGGCCACAATTATTCATACCCTTTTATTAAATACCTTTTTGCAATCTCCTTTTGCCAAGATAACTCCTCTGAGTTTTCAGCTATAATGCCTGATGAGTTTGGAGAACACCTGACAAGAGATCAGAGACCATTCCTCCATACAGAATCTCTCCAGATCCTTCAGATTCCCAGATCTCTTCAGTTCAGACCAGTCATTTTCTATATGGTTCAGGTCAGGGTCTGGGACAGTCATGGCAGAAGCTTCATGTTGTGCTCCCTAACACATTTTTTGTGTTGATTTTGATGTTTGTTTTGGATCGTTGTCCTGATGGAAGATCCAACCACAGCCCATTATAAGATTTCTATCAGAAGGCGTCAGGTTTGGATTTTTTATCTGTTGATATTTGATGGAATCCACAATGCCATGTGTCCCGGACCTCCTGAAGAAAAATAGGCCCCCAACATTAAAGATCCAATGGGACATTAAATTGTACACATGGGGTAATTTTTATCCTCATGTCCACCAAACCCATTTAGTATGCTTACTGCCAAAAAGCTCCTTTTTTAGTCTCATCTGACCACAGAACCCTGTTCCCTTTGAAGATCCAGTCATGTCTGACCACTGAATATGCTAGAGTTTGAGACTCAAGTAATCTCTGCAATTCTCCATCTGTGATCCTTGAAGGGCCACTCAAACTTTAATCCTCACCGTCCATTAAAGGTCCCCTGACATGAATTTTTCATTTTCTGAGGTTTTAACATTAATATGAGTTCCCCTAGACTGTATTTGGTCCTCTCGTGTCTAGAATTTTTTCAATCTGTGTAAATCGAGCTTTGGCTATTTTTCTCTTCTCTGCATCCGTCTGCATCTCAGACGCGCTGATCTAGAATCTCCCCCTATATAACGTCATATAGGGGAAAGGTTACTCCCCTTTCTCTGCTTTGCCCGCCCAGAGAATTTGGCCCGACGATGAGAAAACAAGCTAGGAACACGCAAAGTACGAACACGCGCAGGCGCGATTTTTATTTTTTCCTAGAGAAATAGCTTTGAGATTTGAGTGTTTCCTCGAGAGATATCATGGCTTGCAAACGAGCGAAGCATGGCAGTTGCTCAGGGTTCGGATGTACAAATGAACACAAAAGTATTTTTTTGTTCCTTCATCCGCGCCTCTGAAGAAACAATGGGTTCATTTTATTTTCTCTGGAAATGCGCCGACTCAACTCTCAAAGTTTTGTATGGTACAAACGGGCAGAAGACAGGTAAGTTAATCTTTCTCTCAAAATCGTTCAATACTGTTTATGCATCAGTAAGTCAAGCCATTATCAACTTCACATCGTTTCATTGAGTAGGATGAAAATAATCTTATTTAAAGAAAGTGTTTAGTAGGAATGATATTCTAAACGGTAAGCACGCGCTGCTTTGTTTACGTTATGTGTATCTGCAGCCGGCAGCGTCGGTTTTGCTTTTTGAATGACGAATATAGACCAATAACGTTATATCTGCAGAAATAGACAGTGAAGTAAAATGAACTACGGGCTGTAGAAGCCGGACCTCATTTCGGCTGGAGGGACAGTCTCGATCCCACCCTTTGCCAGCAGGGTAGCAATATCCGCTCTCATGATAGGGGCATTGCCACCAACCATAGTGGAGCTGACACCCCTGAAGCGGTGAGGAGACCGTGCGAACTGAATAGAGTATCTGAGCATGATCGTCCAAAGGACCAAGCGGGACAGGTTAGGAAGCTCTAGCCAAGCTTCCAACGACTGTACCAGCGGGATCATACGAACCACAGACTTTCCACCAGTGGTGCAGCAAGGCGGAATGACTACGTGGATGGCATGGCGGCCCGGTGTGGAGAGACAGTCATTGACCATGTCCTGACAGAGGAGACCAGGGAAGGATGAATGTTCCATGGGGGTCTGCTCCGCCTGGGGGCTGGCGACAGAGGACGATGAGAGCGGTACAGTCCGGCCAGTCATCCAGCCCTGGGACAGAAGAGGACAAGGGGTGCACAGCCCGGGGCGAGCACCATGTCGTCTGAGAACTCTGTGTGCTCAGGGATGGATATGTTACGTCTTTCTTTAACAACATTAGGGTGCATGAATCCTGCCCACCTTGTGATGCAGTGACAAACATTGCATCATCCTCTGTAGCGCCAAAGGAAACTCACGGGACATTCTGCCAGCGTCCTCCTTTACGCTATGCAAAATCTGCAGACCCAAGGCATTTCTTTGCCATTGGCTTATTTTATATTGATCTAAACTGATCTGCTTTCTAAGCGAAACCCCATTCGTCATCATCCGACGGAACTCGGAGTGTCAATGAAAGGGAACTGGAGGATCTGTAAAGTTAAAAAATTCTTTGTTGGATGTCAAAACAAAACTTATAATATGACTCATTTAAAATAAAAACATGTATGGTAGTAGCCAATCACATTTCAGTGACTAATACTTAAATTTAAATATGGTGCACCTTTATGAAAATTTACATATTTGTATATAGTGTGAAAACTAGTATGTTTACCAAATTTTAGGTAAAATTTTGAGGTGTCTTAAGGACATTAAGGTCTGGTTTCACAGACAGGGTTTTGATTAAGCCAGGATTAGGCTTTAGTTCAATTAGTGCATTTAAATAATGTGCCTTTGAAGAAAAAACATTATAGGTGTGCTTGAGTCAAAACACTGACATTTTTTAAGATCCGTCTGTGCAAGTTGCTTTCAGTTAAAATAGCTCAAACATGCATTTTTTTGTTGTCTTGGACTAGCTACGCATTGTCTGTGAAACCGGGGGTATGTTAAATACGTTCATTTTCGGAAAATGTTGAGCTGCAAATGATAACTCCTTATGACATGCAATTCATCTAAATTTCAATGGTTCACACGAGTCCAAATACAAGCTTCAACAGACAGCGTAATGTTTTTGCTATCTGTGCAGTATGTCACATGATTTTTGCCACCAGCTGAGAGAAGCCTTTTTTCAAATTAACAATGCAGCTGCATTGCATTGTACTGGATAAGCTAACATAAACACACCACGTCAGTTAACCCTCTGATGGTCCTTGGTCACTTCAGACTGAATAATTTTCTGTTTTGAATTATTAAAAATCACAGCTTTCTCGGAAGGTTATGATACTTGGTGACTTTTTTGGCATTTGGTATGTGAATACAAAAAAAATTGAGGTCATGATCTGAGCATGCTAAGTGGTGGTAAAAAAAAAAAATAGTCACACTCGTGGTCTTCGGTCAGAAATGACCGACCCATAGGAAATGAATGGGAAATTTACAAAAAAACAAACATTTTCTGCATTTTTGTTTGTACAATCTACAAATCGGGTACGATTCTTAAAAGAAGTATACCGCAGTAAAGGGGTGACACTCTACATCCTCAAGAGTGCAAAAAATTACATCCACCCACGCACATACAAACACACTTTTATACACATACACACCAATAAATTCAGACTACAAAAAACACAGTAGTAGGTTTATGTAAGTGCTGCCCCTTTAACCCTCTGATGGTCCTCGGTCACTTCTGACTGAATAATTTTCTGTTTTGAATTTTTAAAAATTACAGCTTCATCGGAATGTTACGAAACTTGGTGACATTTCTGGCATTAGGTATGTGAACACAAAAAAAATTGAGTTCATGATCCGAGCATGCTAAGTGGTCGTAAAAAAATTAGTCACGATTTTGATCTTTGGTCAAAAATTACCCCCATAGGAAATGAATGGGAAATTGACAAAAACACAAAAAAAAAATCACAATTTTTATTGTAATTTTTTTTTTCTTCAAAATTTTTTTTTTTCTGAAAGCCTAGGCTCTATATTAAACAAAAATACTGCATTAATAATTCTTTTTAAAATAATATATATATTTCCATTGAAAAAATAGACCTTAAATATTGCATAAATATTAATAAATTCAATCAAATTGTCTCAAAATACTAAATTAAAAATAATAAATATTATAGAACAAAAATAAATTGCATTGGTTTTACTGGGATGGAAGAAGTTTCATTTTTAGGCCTCCGGTCACTTCTGACCTGGCAGGCCCAGGACGTGACTCATAAAGGAAGACCATCAGAGGGTTACATATTTAATGAATAGTCGAAATTATAATTTTCATCTGAGCCCTACCAAATACTCTGAGGTTTTGCAGCAGATGCCTTTGAATGTTTTCCTCTCAATTCAACGTGTCTTCATACTGTTGTTGTGTGTGGTAGAATACCTTATCATATATGTTTTAACAAGCTAAAGTTCTTGTTAATTAATTAATCCATTTTGTTTTGTTTTTCTACCTATAGGTGAAAGGTTCACTTGTAATGAACATTTTCAGTGCTATAACTGGAGGCATTTCATTTATCATAATTTCGTTGGATTTGGTTATTGGGCCATTGATGTACAGTCACTGCTACTTTTCTAATTGTTACCTTGATACAAAGTACCTGGTATGTCGCCAACTTTTATCCTCACATTTATTTTGTAATTACAATAAGATCACTGTGTGCTCAGTACTTGTCAAAAGTCAAGCTATAATCTGTTCAGTCTTTTTTTTTTTTTTACAACATTTCAAAAGTAGTTTATAGATCTCTTGCTACTGATCATTTACAGTGCAAGAAGGCATTATACATTAATAATATACTCCATCCAGTTTGACCTATAAATACACTCAACTAAAGGATTATTAGGAACACCTGTTCAATTTCTCATTAATGCAATTATCTAATCCACCAATCACAGTTGCTTCAATGCATTTAGGGGTGTGATCCTGATCAAGACAATCTCCTGAACTCCAAACTGAATGTCAGAATGGGAAAGAAAGGGGATTTAAGCAATTTTGAGCGTGGCATGGTTGTTGGTGCCAGACGGATGGGCAACAGCACCACTCATCTCCACTACAAATAAGAAAAAAGAGGCTACAATTTGCAAGAGCTCACCAAAATTGGACAGTAGACTGTAAAAATGTTGCCTGGTCTGATGAGTCTGGATTTCTGTTTTTGAAGAGTCAGAATTTGGCATAAACAGAATGAGAACATGGATCATCATGCCTTGTTCCCACTGTGCAGGCTGGTGGTGGTGGTGTAATGGTGTGGGGATGTTTTGTTGGCACACATTAGGCCCCTTAGTGCCAATTGGGCATCGTTTAAATGCCACGGCCTACCTGAGCATTGTTTCTGACCATGTCCATCCCTTTATGGCCACCATGTGCCCATCCTCTGATGGCTACTTCCAGCAGGATAATGCACCATGTCACAAAGCTCGAATCATTTCAAATTGGTTTCTTGAACATGACAATGAGTTGACTGCACTAAAATGGCCCCCACAGTCACAGATCTCAACCCAATAGAGCATCTTTGGGATGTGGTGGAACGGGAGCTTCGTGTCACAAATCTCCATCAACTGCAAGATGCTATCCTACCAATATGGGCCAAACTTTCTAAAGAATGCTTTCAGCAGCTTGTTGAATCAATGCCACGTAGAATTAAGGCAGTTCTGAAGGCGAAAGGGGGTCAAACACAGTATTAGTATGGTGTTCCTAATAATCCTTTAGGTGAGTGTATGTTGTATTACTATATTAACCTTAAGGTTGATAGATTATGAACTTCTGAACAGTCTGTTTGCGAATATGAGTGCTAATGATTAATTATTTTGTCATTATTATTTGTGCTAATGTTCTCTCTCAGACTCTCTTCATGGGAATCAGTGGTGTATTGTTGACGTTCACCTTCCTTCAGTTTATCATCTCCATCTACCTGTCAGCATTTGCCTGTAAAGTCGCCTGCTGCTGCTCTCCACAGGTGAGTGATGCATCAAGTCAAGGGTTTTTAATTGTTTGTCAGTTAAGCTCCTCAGATATGCATATAAAATGGAAATAGTTACATTTAACTAACTTTGAACCTTGGGTCGAGACTTGAACGTGGATCGCCTTGTTCAGAGCTGCGCTATATGACAGCATTGTCCTCAAGGATATTGCTCTGACATAACAGTTCATTTTTTATCAGTTTTTTATCATTCTAAAGTAATACAGAAAGATTACATTTATTTGAATGCATTAGTGAGAGAGCGATTGCCTGTTTGAATTAATCCTGTCTTTGCCGCATCTCTATACTAATAACGAAGCTGTGGGTTTTAGTTATTTCAAAATCAGAAAGATACTACTGTTACGCTGTTATTAATCAAAAAGTAAGTTTAACAGTAAGTTCCTGAAGTTTCTTTGTATGTGTGTGTTGTGATAGTAAAGAAAATCTGTGCCACGGCACGAGTCTCAACATTGTTTGCTTTAATTTCACTTTCCTTTTTGCGTGAATGGGTGGAGTATTTCTTTTAACGTTAATTGTGGAAGGAAGTTGAATATAAGGAAGTGTGTTGTATCTGAAAAGATCGTCATCCGTTTGTGTGTGTGTTGAGGAGTTTGCCAGTTGGGATCGTGATGGATTATCGGGGAAAGACGGCAGCTTGCCAATCTGTTGCTTCTTGTGTTTGATTAAAACTTGTGCATACAGGAGTTGGACAATTAAACTGAAACACCTGGTTTTAAAACACAATAATTTGTTAGAATGGTGAGGGCCTCATTTTGCATCCAAATACAGCACCAATTGACAGATAGAAGTCCTTCACAGTGACCAGAGGGATTATGAGCCGGTCCTCTTCCAGAACAGTGTCCAGGTCACTATATGATGCTGGTGGACTCGCTCCTCCAAAACACCTCAATAATATTCAGATCTGGTGACTGTGCATGTTCAACGTCACTTTCATCTTCATCAAACCCTTCTGTCACAAGTCTTGCTGTGTGTGTTGGTGCATGATCATGCTGATACACGGTTTGAGCATCAGGTGCTCATGATCCTCCAGAAGGGTTTGGTATTCCTCGGCAGTGTCGTGTCTGCCAGTGTCATTGCATGTGTGGCGTTTCACAGTGAGAAGACTTAAAACTCTACATGTGTATTTTTCCAAAGGTGCCGTTAGTTCCACAAGTTATAACCGCACAGCCTTGTGACTTTAGGCCCAATAATTTCCAAGAGGTAAGAGAACCTTTTAACCAGACTCCCAATGTATTATTTGAGTTTTGTGTCACTCTATACGAACAGGTAAGTGTTTAAAGCTCTAAATAATAAGTGCATTAATTGTTTATTAATATCAATAAATAAGTAATCTTTACTCTAGGAAGCTGATCATATAGATTTTTTTCTTTTAGATATCTGTGGTCAGCAACCCTGCCATGTATCAACATCCAGCAGAAAATCCTCCACAATACGAGAACCTGAACATTAAAAGTCAACCGATTTGAGTTGGGACATATTAGTTTGTTATTATGTTTTGATTGATACTGTGAAGCTGCTTTGATGCAGTCTATATTGTAAAAAGCGCTATATAAATATACTCGACTTGACTTGTGGGGTTTCCCAGTGATTTCCTGTCCATTATTTCTAAAGTTCTTTCATTAAACAGAGAACATTAAAGCAAAGAAAGAGATCACTTGATCAGATATTAATTGCGTATCACAAATGTAAACAATATCTATTAGACTAGATCATATTTTATGATTTTCTTTCTTTACTTAAGTCAATAAAGTTGCTTAATCATTATTTGAAAATGTATAGATTGTTTTGAACAACTAATTGCTTAATACAGTAAAATCTGTGAGAATAAAGTATACCGAATAAAAAAATGGCTCATTCATGTCTCTTTTTTCTTACCTTTCGCTTATGTTTAACCAGGCAAATCAATTGAAGGGAAAATGAAAATTCTGTCAATCATTTTTCCCCCTCATGTCATTCCAAAACCGTCAGTCTTTTTGTTCAGTCAACAAAAAATGAAGATCATAAAACTAGTCTATATGATTTGAGCGAATAGTAAACATTTTCTGAAGAGAAACTATCACTTTATCTGATAACAGATTGATTTATAGTGTTTTTAGACGTTGAGCAAGAACATACCACCGAGAAGCATCTAAAACCTTAATTTTCCACAAAATCGTTTGTGTAGTAACATTTTGTTTTAGTAATGTCAAAAATATCACAGATAAATGTGTATCAAATTAGCTCAAAAGGGAAATGTTGTAATTTATGAAGTTATAGTTATAATTAATGATTCATATTTAGATCAGTTAATTTAATTGGCTTGATGTAGCTGTATTAATATTACAATCAATAATTAATCTGTTCATCCTGCACACACTCAGTATTGATCATCTATCAACTCTCAGAGAGAATATTTGTTATGGCCACAGAGAAATAACTTTTTAATAGCATGTAGCTGTGATCGCATCGTTAAAGTGATGTTGATTTACAAACAGGGACCAGAATCAACTTGCATGAATGTACATAAAAGTTTTATTTCACTTAATATCAAACACATAACCAATCTAAACAAACACATATACACAATCAAGAATACATGGGAAATGGAAAGTGAATTAATCCGAAACAAAAACTAATGAAGCTAAGGAAAAGAGTAATTTAACCATCTGAGCAGAACCATAGGTTTTATATTTCAAAGCACATTGTTAACATGGGTTCATAGTTTATACTAAACCTCTGTTTAGTGTACGACACTTGCAATGCCTTAGCCGTTGAACGAGCGCCCAGGTGCAGGCTCAGGAGAATGTCTTAATTGTTAAGTAAGTCGATGGTTTTGAAGTTGCAATAGTTACTTCCCACTCTGGAGGAAAGGACTGGTGGTTGGACTGCGTGTCTAAAGACTTTTCTCATGAACAGTAACCAGAAGAAGGAAGAAGAGGGGAAGGGACATCATGCCAACAGTGCCCTTTAACTTCTGTAGAGGTCACACCTCCAGGGGTCAGTGAGCCAATGATAACTTTGTCTTAGAGCATGCTGTTTTGCATATGTACCTGGATTGGGTGTTGATGGAGAAACTATTAAAGATTCTTGTAATATTAATATGTTGCATAGGTATCAACATGCAGCATAAATGATCATTCAGATAATTAAAATAGAAATTTATAGACACCAAACATGGTATAGGTAAGGTACATTAACTTGTGGTTCTATCACAAAGCATGCAAAAACAGTATAAAATACACTATACAAGACAGTAATAATCATACACACCAGTGATGCGCGGGTCAATGTATAAACAACCCGCAACCGACCGACGTTTTTAACTACCCTATACATCTAATATAGTAAAAAAAAAAAACACAAACCTCCGTTTGCTGTAAAATCGTATGGGTCACAGCCGACATTTTCAGAAAACGTCGATCTCCTTGCTGGGTGGGTTGGAAATCATCGTCGAAAAAGTGATCACTGCACACTCTCTTACATTTAAGAGCATGTTCAGGTGTGTTTATCCAAGTTCAACGCGAGCAGCCACAGTTTCAATCGTTCAGGATTATGTACAGGAAATCTATGAAAAGTTAAAAAAATTTTGTCCTAAAGAAAAAAATCTTTTTGTCTTTAAAATATTAAAACACCCAGGACACGCACACGACATGGGCATTTTAAAATGATAAACTGACAAAAAGACACGTGAGAATGTGTATAAATGCCTCCTTCCTCACATTTGTAAACACTGACTCTGTACTTCCGGCTACGTCGCCCGTGACCTTTTGAACGTAATTACGTATTACGCGACGTTACAAACGCGCCTCACAGAATAGAGCAAGTCTAGCATTTGTCCTTAGAAAAGTTACATTTTTGGAATAAGTTTTGAAATAACCGATCGTTTCGCATGATAAGACCCTTATTCATCGTCTGGTGTCGTTTAAAGACATTTGAAGCTGCATTTGAAACTGTTATTAACTGTCATTTGGACCTTGAACCATCTGGTTCCCATTGAAGTCCATTATATGGAGAAAAATCCTGGAATGTTTTCATCAAAAACCTTAATTTCTTTTCAACTGAAGAAAGAAAGACATGGACATCTTGGATGACATGGGGGTGAGTATATTATCAGCAAAAGTTTTTTCAAAAGTGAACTAATCCTTTAATAAAACTGTGTATGTCATTGGTTCTGCAGGTATTTTAAACCATTTCTCCTCATAAAATATCTCCAGGTCTGTCAGGTTTGATGGCTGACAAATGTGGGTTATCGGGGGTGCCCAAATGCATAAAACTGTATAGTTACTGAGGAGCAAAATGACCATACCCTAGTCACCCTAATGGCCATATCTGGTTATGGAGATACATAAAGTAGTCTTTTCTTTATTTCCTTTATTTGGTCTAATGAACAGGCATGAACTACATCAAGACTCAGTTGCAGCAGGAGCAGTGCCGTCTAACCAGTCAGAGCAGCAAGAGGAGGAGGAGGACTACTTTGACATCATGAAAGACAATGTCCAAGAGACCTCAAAGCAGCTGGATGTATACCTGACCAGCTACCACCATGGTCGTTCTCAAATCAGTGCCTGCCGTGTACAGATTGTACCCATTGCCTGGCTCTGCAGCCAGTGAGAGACTCTTCAGCTCAGCAGGGCAGATCTTTACCCCTTAAAGAGGCAGGCTCGGTTCAGAGAACTTTGAAAACCAACAAGCTCAACAAAAAATATTGGTGATATGTTCACAGGTTGTGTTGGTTTTTGAGACCTGATGGAGACTAGAAACGGAGTTGAAATTCTGATGATGTGAAGAGCAGGACTCCAGACTGCGACCAAATGGTTGACCAAATTTTTTCCTTCCGGTGCGACTAATTTTGTTAGCCATTTCTAATGCCAACAGGACATTGGGCAACTGATAAGAGCTGCCTTTTATGTTGCATGTGAGAAACATCAGACGGCAAACAAAACGAAAGTGAAACAAAACTACGCTACTTGTTTGAGCTCAGAACAGGTTCTACCAGCGGTTCGGCCGATCTGGATCACACGACACCGTTCCTACACAGCGCTGGGAGATCCAGTGAGAAAGTGTTTGAATTCACCGCAGTATTATTAACATAAGATCTAGTTGGAAGCATTCAAATTTGGTTCAGAATTCTGTTATAAACCACAGATATCAGATCAAAAAACACTGATGTGAAAACCAAGAGAAACATTGTGCCATGAGTAACCAAGTTATAAAAGGCTTTATAGTCCAAAAATTAGGATGGATTAAATGTAACAATGCTAACTAACCATGATATTGTGGTAGAATGTTTTTTTTTAAAGTTATTCATGCGCAGAAGTCAGTCTCCAAGTCAGTATCTTCATTGAAGAGGGCAGAGAGAGTGAGGGAAGCCCTTACTTGGTATTTTATACTTGGTAAGTGTTGGTTTCCCTATGTTGGTTATAGTGTATATTCAATTGCTAACTGCTATTGTACAGCAATAGAAGACATAACGCTTCAGAAATTAAATTACCATGTTTATTAAATTGCTTTGAACTAATTCATTATCTGGCTCTTTATTATAAAATAAAAAAGTACTAAAAATTAATTACAGATCAAGTGCAAAGAATCAGCATTTATGAAAAATAATTAAGCTGATTTTCAGACACTCGGAATAATTTCATTTCTTTAAATATTAAAATTTCACAGCAAAAATTGAAAAACATTGAACATTCCTAATCTCAACTATTTGATGCCATTTAGGCAGCAAATAGCATTTATAAATAATACTTCTGTAACAATTTAAAAATGATTTAGAAGTGACTGTTCTTTAAATTGTACACCTATTGAATTTGGGTTAAACAATTATGATAGCACTGTTAATGATTACAACATTTTATTATTATTTATGTCCATTAAATGTTTGTTATAATCTTGGAACAACTGGATACATTACATACATAATCTTTGCATGCTGTTTATTTAAATAGCTACACTGACTTACACTACATTTTTAAGAATGAGTAGTACACTGTGGAATAATCCTTGTGTTAAGGAAGGGGAAAAGCCCTTGTTTTGGGGACAATGGTTTAGAAGTGGAATACGTACCCTAAAGGATTTATTTAGTAATGTTAAGCTTTTATCTTACTATAATTTAACTCTTTAGGCGCCAAGTTTTTTTTTTTTTTTTTTTTAATGCTGGATTTTGACATCAAAATTTCAAAAGCTTGTGGCTTGAAAGGGCTTGAAGATAGAGATCTACTGTAAATTATAAAAAGGTTGGGGATGACTGAAAGTTTATGTGGGCTGTACATATACTCATCCAATTTGCATATTATGACATCATCAGGGGACGGCCCTCTTGACTTTCATAATATTCAGGAAATAGTAGATATTAAATTATCCGTTTGAACTTATTTGCATGTTTTATTTTTGAAGACTCATTTTGAAGAAAACAGTCTAAGGTGAAAGTCTATGTATCTTGTTGACTACTTTTAGCTCAGACATGCTGTAATCGGAGACGAAATGCAACGTTTCTCCTAGTTTGTTTACAAAGATTTAAGATGTACTTCGCGATTACTTCAGCAATCATTTGATCTGTTGTATTATGTCAATTAAATAAACCATATAGCAAAAATAGATAAATGACTTGCCTTTGTTCATCAAATTTGACCAATGCCATAAATAATAATTCATAGTCACACTTACTTTTGAACTTTTTAAACATTTAAATGATGCGATGTGTTAAAATGAATCAAAAAAAAAATGACGGCTTTGTGTGAAAAGTAGAGGGTCTAAGCTTTGTAATGATTTCACTGTTAATGTTTCATTGATTTTAATTACACAATTCAAACCGGGTACCAGGTTTACAACCTTAACAAGTAGAAATTAGTCACATCAATATCACATACTGAAAGACAAACCACTACACAAGCTCTTGGTGCTCTTGGGACAAGCACACGTCCAAAAGTGATAAATACAAATATTATGACCAGAAGAAACATGTTTATCTGCCATTTAAAAAGAACATTGTATTGCTCAATATACCAAATGAAACAAAGATACAAAGCCATGTTGCTTTGGGGGATGAATATTCATTGTCTGACTTAAACTGTTCACTTAAAAAAACCACGACACAAAAAAAAAAAACTTTTTTTCCCCAGGGAGTGTCTGCTTCAATGTGAGGAGCTCTGACTGGGCGTACCTCTTACTGACAGTAAGAGATGCTGTGCTGGTGTGACAGCTGGGTGTGACTCTAGATAGATTAGCATTTACGGGGACACGGACCTGGGAGTAAAACACTGCTGAGACCGCCGAGGATCAGACGCAAGATTAGAGAGGAGGAGTCTGACTTAGGCCTCGGCATGCTCATGATTGCCTTCATCTGCTCACCGTGTTGCCTCGTCATTAGCTTCATAGTCTCATCATGTCTTTTGTTCATGTTTTCAATCATATTTTTAAACAGCTGGTCACTTTTCATTTCTGCTTCTTTATTCTTCTTCCTGAAGTCCTCCATCTCTTTAGTCATCATGTCTGCCTTCTCCTTAAAGCCCTTCTCCAACAGATCCTTCTGCTCCCTCAGTTTGCTGTCCATGGCACGCTCAGCCTCCTCTCTCTGGAGCCTGATCTCCTCATCCATCTTCTCCCTCATCTGTCTCATCCTCTCTTCGTTACTCCGTCTCTCTGCTTCCATCTTCTCTTCCAGTTGTCGCTGCTTCTGTTCCTTGGTATTTATTTCCTGAGCCAGGAGAACAGCCTTATCTCTTTCCTCTGGAAGATATTGAAGCAAATGAAATAGTTTAATGGAAAGTGCACCCAAATTTCCAACCAATTTTGCTTTAGAGTTGTTGAAGAGAAAAGTCCTCAATCAAATGATAAATGTAACCAGACTGGTCAACCTAGAGTTGTTCACGTTCATTTTGTACACTGTTAAGCACAAGGCTCTTCGAATACATTACTGCATCTATATTACTCAATACAAATTGGAGAAAATGGTAATATTCCCTATCATACAAAGTGCTGGAAGCTTTATCTGCGAGGCACATCTTAAAAATTGAAGAGTTCTGCATGATCCCAACCATGCATGATGGTTACAATGCGTCCAGTGCCTCCCTCTAGTAATACATTACTGCAAAAGTTAAAGGGTTAGTTCACCCAAAAATGAAAATTCTGTCAGTATTTACTCACCCTCATGTTGTTCCAACCCCGTAAGACCTTCGTTCATCTTCCGAACACAAATTAAGATATTAAGATCGCTCCTGCATACTAGTCCATAGGCTTCTTGAGGGAATGACTTGCTGGCCTCGAAAAGTCATTAAAGACATCGTTAAAATAGTCCAAGTGACTACAGGGGCTCAATCTTAACTTTATCAAACGACGAGAACACTTTTGTGCGCAAAAACAACAAAAATAACGACTTTATTTCAACTATTCGTTTATTTCTCCCTCTGCCTCGAGTGAAGTTACTAGTTTAATAGCGTAAGCTTCTGTTATTGTACGTCACACGCATCACACACACATGACCAGCGTCGGCCAATAGTGAGCCTTCGTGTGACGTAGCTTTACGCAATCACACTACGTTAACTGACTACAGGCCCATGGAGAAGGAAGTGAATAGTTGAAATAAAGTCGTTATTTTTGTTTGTTATTGCGCATAAAAGTGTTCTCGTCGTTTGATACAGTTAAAATTGAGCCCCTGTAGTCACTTGGACTATTTTAACGATGTCTTTAATGACTTTTCGATGCCAGCAAGAGTCATTCCCTCAAGAAGCCTATGGACTGTATGCAGGAGCGATCTTAATATCTTAAATATCTTCATTTGTGTTGCGAAGATGAACGAAGGTCTTACGGGGTTGAACAACATGAGGGTGAGTAAATACTGACAGAATTTTCATTTTTGGGTGGACTAACCCTTTAACTTTAAGCAGATGATCAGCCAGCCATGGGTAATGTGTACTGTTCTTCGAAACTTAAGTGCTAAACAATATTTGGCATGCAAGACATGTATCAAATTGTATGGAATTTGTACTCTTGCAGCTGAAGCACAGATCACAGATGTACTGGCTTTCTCCGCTAGATGGTGCTGTCATTGCCTCTTTCAGGATACAAAAGATTCTTACCCATAATCTTTTTCTCCTTCTCAGTCAGTTTATTGTCCGCCTGCAGAATGGCGTTAGAATCCACACACTTCTGCTTCAGAAACTCTTCAAGTGTGTCTTCTGCCTGTGGACATCACACATATGAGAATCTGAAAACTGCTCCTACTACTATTAATGTTATTATGTTACTATGAGACTAGTACCACCACTACTACAACTAATGTTAATAATGATGAGTGTGAAGAGAATGCTCCTGCTAGTAATAATAAGATATGGTAACACTTTATTTTGTTGGTCCCCCAACAGACATTCGACTGACTACAGGTAACTTGGCGACTACAAGTAAACTTATTCTCCTAACCCAAAGCCCTAACACTAACCATAACCGTCTACTGTTAACAGTCTACTAACAGTCTAGAAATAACAGTCTACTGTTAACAGTAGTTGTAAAGTTACTTATAATAGGTAGAACGTCTAAAGTGACTATCGAAATAAAGTGTAACCTACGATAAAGCTAGGATCAGTTATATTGTGTCAAGCAATTTGATTTTACATTACAATCAATACATTTTTGTCAAATGAAATGTTATAGCGGATCAGGTAGTTTTAGACCAGTGGTTCTCAACTCGGGGGCCTCAGTTGATTTCTCTACCCTAATCCACTGTTTCCCATATTCTATGAACACATATTCTAGGAGAACATGACAAACCTCTAACAAACTGAAAACATCTTAAACCTGTGATGTTGCAGCAATTGTGTAAAATGTTGACACTCACCCTGACTCCTTTATTGGCTTGGATTTTGTATTCCTTTACAATGTCTTCAAGGTCCTGGGAGAAGAGAACATAACCACCAGATCTGGCATAAAATCCTTTCTTGAGTTTCTCTGTCATTGATGCAGAAAGCGTTGACAGGAGATTCTCGCATCTTTTTTTTGAAGCCTCCTCGTTTTGGCACAGGTGTTCTTCAAAGAGTTTATTAATGTCCTCCTGCAGCATCACACAAAATATTAGAAACAGAAACCTTTAAACACCATTTCACGAATTCACTCTATATACTGTCCCAGATAGCAAACTGACATTGAATCAACGTGGAGTTTTGCTCATCGAATTAACGTTGAACCAACGTCAGACGCGTCATTCTTTCAAAACTAGCGGAAAATCAACTTGAAATCAACGCGTTGTTTCAACGTTATGAAAGCAAACCAATTTTCGATTTTCATTTAGCTTTGAAGAATGCCGCGTCTGACGTTGGTTCAACGTTAATTCGATGAGCAAAATCAACGTTGTTTCGATGTCATGAGAGACGTCGTTTCCACGTTGATTCAATGTCAGTTTGCTGTCTGGGGTACCTCTTAATTTGTTGATGGGTTGATTAACTGAATGTGCTCCCCTCATGTTTATTTATCTGAACGTGCTTGTCACAAATTTGGTAAATAAAACATAATTTAGAGCAGTGTTGCCCAATCCTGCTCCTGCCCATCGACTGTCCTGCTCAGTTAGGGCGCTTTCACACTTGGTTCGATTGCCTGTTCCAAACCCGAGTTAGATTGCTCAATTTTTTAAAGAAATTGAAACAATAAATACCATTTTGTGGCTCTTCAATGTGTCGGAGAGATCGCTGTAGAGCTTCAGTTAAAACTGCTCGTGAACCGATCATCTCTTCCCTCTAGTTAATTTATAGCATCAAATAAACATGAATGAACATAAAAATTAATGTTGTTTTAACCGCAGAAAGACGTCAGTACAGTGCTCTACTTTTTCAAGTTCAAATCTTCCCATGTCAATCTACTATCTTTCCTGACTTTGTTGGACAAAATGGCGGATTATGACTGGTTAGATCGCCAGTGAATCAAACTCCCTGCGAAGGGTCAATTGCTCAACGAAAATATTGTTGTTTTGTCAACGAAAATATTACCTATAAAGCCAGATCAGAACTTTTGTGCGAACCAATTATACAATGGCCCATTGATAAAGAGCCAAAAAATTAAATAAAATAAATCATATTTTGGGGATAGTTTGCCCAAAACTTAAAATTCTGTTTATTTACATTTACTCCTTCTCGTGTTGTTTTAAACCTTTTCTTTCATTTGTGTAACATAAAATTAGATATTTTAAACAAAGTTAAGTAATCAAGGCTGTTTTAGTCTAAAGTTTTTTTTAAATAAAAACTTTATTTGATTCAACATTGAATTTATTATTTCTAAAGCTACTTTTTGTAATTTAACACAATAATGACTTGAAATGATCTTGGGGGTAATTTCTCAGCCAAATCAATGTGCAATTAATTTAATTAATTGACAAATTGTAATTCCAATAGATAGATAGATAGCTATATAGATAGATAGATAGATAGATAGATAGATAGATAGATAGATAGATAGATAGATTCTTGAATGATAATTTAATAGGAATTGTACATTATTAAGTAGGCATCACCTCTAGACATTTCATGAATATCCCTTCACTGTCCTTGAAGGAACGCTTCATGAAGGTTTGTGTTGCCGAGCTGCTGAGACGTTGGTGTTCTGAGGTCACTTCCTTCAGTTCCAGAGGGAATGAGTCCTTCAGCTTCTCCATTCCACTCCTGTAAACCTCAAGGCCCTCCTTCACTGCTGCCTCATTCTCAATCTTTGCCATGGCGATCACAGCGTTCTCCAGAAATGGAACTTCACCACTGGAGATCGTGTCTACATATGTCCTCACCAGCTGACCAAGAACTTCAGGGAAGGAGAAGAGTCAGACACAAGGAAATTAACTGGCAGCTATAGATTATTAACATGCAGTCCAGAAAGTGTCATTAACAATGTCATAACTCAATTTATGCTAATAATTACAATTTGCAACTTTGAAGTTTAGGAGCTTGTATTGTGTCTCCCAGTTCAGTGCAACTGCATCACAAAGATGGAAGAAGATTTCGATGTAGAAATGAGTCGGTAACACTTTATTTGAAAGGGTGTGCATAAGACTGACATGACACTGTCATAAACATGACATAACACCAGTCATGAACATGAAGGTGTCTTTATGAATGTTTATGACTGTTGTCATTAAGTGTCATTCAGTAAATTAGGACACTTTTAATGCAAAGTTGACATTGTTTAAAATGTCTTTGTTATGACAACTTGACATTAACAAAGACAAAAATGTCTTGATTATGACAATTATTATTATATGATTATTACTTGAGGTAAAGGGAAATATTAATGACACTGTTGTTAAAGCATTTGACAGTGTAATAACCCTTAATGACATCTTTATATGGTGTCATGACGGCCAAAGTTAAAACCAACCATAACATATGACAGGGTAATGTAAAGTTAACACAAAGCTAAATAACTTCTTTAAGTTTGATAATTAGACCTGTAAAGACATTTTTGTCTTGGTTAATGTCAAGTTGTCATAACAAAGACATTTTAAACAATGTTAACTTTGCATTAAAAGTGTCATAATTTACCGAATGACACTTAATGACAAAAGTCATAAACATTCATAAAGACTCCTTCATGTTCATGACAGGTGTTATGTCATGTTTATGACAGTGTCATGTCAGTCTTATGCACACCCCTTCAAATAAAGTGTTACCAATGAGTCTTTTTCCTCCTGCTGGGTGTAGGGCATTACAGTGCAATGAGAACACAACCTAATAAAAAGAAACTTGTTGACAGCAGTTTAGCAGCAGCTACAGGAGAAATACATGCCTTGGTTACTACTGCTATTCACGTGTGTAATTGAATATATTAAGTTAATAATATATGAATGTTTATTTTGCTAATTTGTCACGTTACATCATTTAATATATCCGATTGAATCACCTCTGCCTGTGACTGTGTGTCCATCTTTCAGCTTTTTCACTTCGCTCCTGTCAAAGATGAACTTGCAGAAATGATCTGAGACCTTCTGGAAATCTGGGGAAAGGTCAGCAGGATCCAAGCTCTCCAGGCGAGACACCTTCTCTGGGTTGGTTGGAAATGGGAAAGTAAAACACTTCCGGGATGGGAAATAATTTCGGATACATTCCCGTGGAAGGTTGAACTCTTTAACGGTTCTTGAAGTGCCTTTAAAAGATACGAAACACCTTTTTGTCAAAGAGATTAGTCTAAATAGAGTGTTGCTTGTAAATAGCTATTCCCCATTGCTTTTGGTTGCCTGACTGCTTGAAGAGAAATTAGATTATTATTTTAAGTTAAGTTTTTCCCAGGCTCAGTGATATTTTCTAAAATTGTTCCTAAAACAGACTCTGACCTTCAAATCAGGGTTTATTTTGTGATTCTGGCTGGCTGAACAGTATCTCTTACACACATCAGGTCATTTAAAAGCTCAATTTAAACCTTACCTGGTTTCAGCGTCAAGGCATAGTCTAAGTATTGGTCCTCAGTCACGTCTTTCCCATTGATTTTGTTTTCCAGGGTGAAGTCCCTCACGGCCCAGATGAAATTAGGAAAGAACTTAACAAACTCTGCGTCTTCATCCTCATCAGATGATTTGACCTTTATAAACTCACTCAACTCTGTGACATATCTGGCAGTGGTTTAGGTTTGAACACTAAGGTAACAGAGAACATAAAGAAAAACTATCTGGCAGGGAAATCACTGGCATATAGCAGTCCATGATGTTGTATGTGGAGTGTCCATGAGTAAAAAAAGGCATCTGTAATAGACGTCATCTTTTTTGTCATCAGAAGCCCATTGATTTTATGTTGAGCGTCTACACCTCGTGGTTCAGGTCCGAGAGAGGAAGGCCAGTTCTTCCCTTGCTATAGAGCAGGGCTGTCCAATTATGTTCCTGCAGAGCCACTGTTCCTGTCCTGTCCTCTTGTTTAGCTCCAACACCAATTAAAGTCCCTGTGAACCGGAAGTTGCAAACGATTTTTCTCCAGCGCTGTGACGTATTTCCAAGTGAAAGGGAATATGAACAGAGGGCAGGGTTTTACTCTAGAGCTCCTCCTCTCCATCTCTCGCTCATAGCAAACTAACGGTTTGAGGGGAGTGGTTAAACGTTCCCCCACCCAAGCTGTGAAACCTACGTCATCAGAAAAAGAAACCGTTCCAGACCGGAAGTAACTTTTCAGATTTTGATTAAAGATTACCAAGGTAAAACATTTTTTTAATATATATTTACCAGTGGTGGAGGAAGTACTGAATCTCAGTACTTAAGTAAAAGTACAAATACCCAGATAAATATTTACTTTAGTAAAAGTAGAAGTAACACAATGACAACCATACTTAAGTAAAAAGTACTTTATTTTAAATGTACTTTAAGTATTAAAAGTAAAAGTACTTGCATAACAATTTATTATCTTAATGTCTATTTTCTAATGATTAATAAAACATTTAATTCTAACTCATTCAACCTAATAGCCTACTCCTATAATGATGTTCAATAATGATGGAAAAAAAATGGCACCATTTCTGAAACAAGCTTGCAATTAGGCAATATACACATCATGCTTATGATCCTTACTATATGTTAATAACTATGTTTGGCAGTAAACGAGATTAATTTATGGTGTAATTCTGAACCTCTTGGCTTGCCATAATCCTAATCAAACCAAACATATATTACACACGGTGTGTTTCCTATGCACGTAAAAACAAATTTTCGCGTATGAGTTGCACGATAAACACACTGCGTGTGAGACGCATTTAGTGTGACCGGGTTGATATACTGTATCTATGGCAACCAAACGTCACTGGTGAGACAAACGTGCAACGAACGGGCGGTCAGATTACGTTTTGGCAGGGGAAAAACTGATCAGAAAATGTAACGAAAATGTAACAGAAGTTGTAGAAATGTAGTTGGAGTAGAAAGTATAATAATTGCTGCAAAATGTAACGAAGTAAAAGTAAAAAGTAGGCACTATTTATTGTACTTAAGTAAAGTAAAGATACGTGAAAAATGTACTTAAGTAAAGTAACGAAGTATTTGTACTTCGTTACATTCCACCACTGATATTTACTTGCACGGATTAATTGTTCACCACAAGACTAGTAATATGCGCTAACAAAGTAAATAGGTTCAATTTTGATTTCACAGGGACTTTAAACACACCTGAACCAGGTAATAAAGGTCCTAGTAGGCATACTAGAAACTTCCAGGCAGTGTTTGGAGAGGCAAGTTGGAGATAAACTCTGCAGGACAGTCAGTCGGTCTAGTGCTGCACAATTAATCATATCGCAATCGCGATGTCAAGCCCATGACATTATATGACGCAAAATCCTACAATTTTATGAAATAATAAATGCATGTGTGGACATGACAACCCATTCTCTCCATTCTAAGACCGGTCAGTCAGTTTCAGTTTAGGTGTGGCATGTGCAGCGCGGAGAACAGGTGAAGATGATGCCGAGCAGAAGGACACTGAACTGCTGGCCAGCAAAAATTCAACCTCTGTTATAGACCCTTTTACAGCCCACATGATCAAACAGTTGCGCACGCATTTTGGCAATGGAAGTGGTGTTGTTTCCACTGGCTCTAACGTGTTAGCGACTCCAAAAGTTTAGTAAAACGGTTTCCCAGCTTCAAAATGTCTGGTTGTTGCATTTACGGTTACACTAATCAATATTCCACCAAGGGGCTTAAGTTTTTTAGGATTCCAACAGGATCACGGCCGTTTCAGAAGAACCGGTGGCGCCTGTGGCTGCAGGCGATTAAACATGTTGATTGGAGCGAGGACATAATAAAAATCCGCTCATGTAGCTTGACACGCTGCTGATTCTCGCCATACTTCCGTTGCCAATAGACGAATCCGACGAGCGTTCTGTGTAGGCTGCCATCTTGTGGCGACGCCATTACTGAGCTGTTACACCGGCATAGACATATGCACCGGTATGTAAACAAACCTCGGTGATAACGTACCCTCGATGACAGCTACAGCCAGGCAGAATGACTTGTTGGGTTGATGATGTTAGACAGTGGCCACCAGTCACAGATGAAGGTACAAACGATCTTACAGATTATTTATGAAAATAGATTGGCAAGCTAGCTAGGCTAACGTTTGCTAACGAGGAAACTATAAAAAGATCTGTCCATTTGGCAACAATAAATAAATAAATAAATAAACGAAATCAAATAAACAATTTCATGTTTTTCATTTGTGTCCATTATTTATCTCATTTTTACATTGCAACGGGCATGGGTAAGGTAACGTTACAGCTAGAAAGTATACATAATATCGACCAACTACTGTTTTTAAACCATGGAAAGAGGTCAATATAACAGCAGGAAAACAATTATGTCACATAACGTTACATTCAGCTCAGGAAAGCCATTTAATGACCATAGCATGTAAATTGAATAGAAAAAATAACAAGAGAGGAGATTTTGCTGATCACTATATCACACATTTATTATATATTTTTACTTATGTCATTAAATAATTGTTATTATATGCGAATGTCCGCGTCTTGTACTCGCCCAGGAAATCTGTGTAAACGTACGGCACCAGACAGGGCAGTCGACCCGGGGTATTCACAATGTTTTCTCTTTAAAATTTGAAATTTTATTGCCACCATTGAAACAATTTATAACGAAACTGTTTACCCCACTCGATATTATACAAGGATAACGTTGTAACGTTAGTGACCGTCGTAAATCGCGGGCTGTTTATTCCAGTGGACGCAAGTTGCAACTAAAACAATA